ATGGCTCATTAGTGCCGATGAAAGCCTTTTTTCATTGCGTCTAAATTCTTTAAACAGGGCTCCCTCTGATGTCTATTTGCATAGCTTAAGAGCTAATGTGGGGGGAGGGCCCAAGCAGGCAGGGGCTACGTGGAAACCCCTGGGCTGCCTCCTGTGGGAGATGGGAGGGATGGCCAATGGTGGTGGGGTGGTGATGCTGGTGGTGGGGGTGGGGAGGGATTTCCCAGCCAGTCTACTTGGGCGAGGCAGCCCAGAGCTGCCCAGAGAATGTCCCCCTGTATGTGGCACCAGAGGGACCTGTGGATGGGATTGTGGGAAATTATCTGACTTATGGGGACAGTCTCTGTATACCTCAGACACACACTGCTGTTCTAAAGCGTTCTGATTCTCAGAAAACCCCTCAAAGTGCCCAATTTTTCAGGGAAGAGGTGAAGGCCCTGAACAATGACTTGCCAGACACCTGATTTTTAATATATTTTTTAAAAGATTTATTTATTTTTATTGCAAAGTCAGATATATAGAGAGAGGAGGAAAGAAAGAAGATCTCCCGTCCGATGATTCACTCCCCAAGTGAGCTCAATGGCCGAGTTGAACCAATCCTAAGCCAGGAGCTCTTCCAGGTCTCCCACCTGGGTGCAGGGTCCCAAGGCTTTGAGCCATCCTCGACTGCTTTCTCAGGCCACAAGCAGGGAGCTGGATGGGAAGTGGAGCTGCCGGAATTAGAACCGGCATCCATGTGGGATTCTGGAGCATTCAAGGCGAGGGCTTTAGCCGCTAGGCTACTGCGCCAGACACCCGATTTTTAAGTGGCAGAGCTGACACTGAAACCCAGTTCTGCCTCCCTCTGTCCCATGGTCTCTGTCATGTTTCCACACTCAGGTGCTTCAGGAATGAATAGGAGTTCCAGTATCCTAGACAGAAAGGCTCTGGAGGATGTGGTTCCCATTCAGGCTCAACCTGAGTCCCAGATGCCAGAAGTAGTGACCCCACTGCCACTTCTTACTTATTTGAAATGAAGAGTGAGGAAGAAAGAGAGACAGAAAGAGATCTTCCATTTGCTGGTTCACTCCCCAAATGTCCACAGAGGCTGGAGCTGAGCCAGGCCAAAGCCAAAAGCCAGGAGCCTCATCTGGATCTCCCACATGGGCTATCTTCCTCTGCTGATGTCCCAGATACATGAGCAGGAATCAGATTGGAAGTAGAGTAGCTGGGATTTGAACTGAGTCGGTTTTAAGCTCTGGCTTAGTTTAATATGCCACAGTGCCAGCCCCCAAGTGGGTTTAAATTCCAGGTCCAGCACTGTGAGACTTCAGGCAAGTCTCTGTCTCACCTCTCCAGGCTTTGGATTCTTTATTGGGCAGGAGTGAGAGTCCCATTTCTCAGAGTTGCAGTACCAATTGAAGAATACAGTTGGAGGAAAGCTGACACAGTAGGAGTATATGAGACCAGCCTGTGGGCCCCTGACGTCTCCTACAGGGCCCTGGATCCCACTCTTCCTCTATGTCAGCTCCTGCACGTGACCTCAGGCCAACCAGACAGCAACCTCTGACCTGGCTGGCCATAACTCCAGGAACCTAGAGGGTTCCAACAGCATTCCTGAGGCATCTGGATACACCCTTCCCAGACCTAGCTCATCTTCCTCAGGTTATCTGACCCTTTCTGACTGACTGTGGGTGGCACCTGCCAGGACCAAGTGGCAGCTGATTTCAGAATCAATTTTCTTGCTTGATACGCTATCTCGATTCCATTTAAGCAAGTGTTCGGTCCCCCCAGATAACACAATCAGTGCATTCAACAGTGACGGGAGGTGCCCATTAGCCCTGCTCCATTGCTCAGCACCCACTCAGCAGCCAGCAGTGGCTGGTGAGCAATGCTCGGCACAGTCACTTCCTGAGTCAGGGAACCTCAGTGCATTCCCTCCGCCAGGGAAGAATCCCACAGGTACCCACCCTGAGAGCCGTGGGTGACACCTCTTGTTGGGCAGCTTTGGAGGTGGACATGTGAGCAATGCACATAGCCCAGGGGATTCCAGTCTGTGTGGCAGGAAAGGCTTTTCTTCCTTGTGCTGTGCCGAGATCAGTTTTAGATCACCTGGCAAAGACCCTGTGACATCTAGGGGCGGGGGAGTGCATTTTGAGCAAAGAGAGTAGCCCAGGCTGGCATGTCGCAGGCACTGCCTGGACTCTCCATCACTGACTCAGACAAAAGACATAGGGCACTGGCAGACCATCTGCTCTAGCGGGCGCATGAGCCTGGCTGGGCATCTAGTTTAGATACTGTGTTATCAGTGCCTGCCATGGACTGCCAAGACACAGTTGGGCTGCCTCCATAGGCATCACAGGAGAGAGTGAGGTTGGGCCTAGTTTCCAGGGTTTGGGGGTCCCCAGGCCTCTAAGACCCAAAGGAACTAAAGGCCCTCCAACCTGTACTTGCCTCCCGCACCTCAACTTCTCCCCTCTTCCCATTTGTCTGACACATCAGAGCTGCCGTGGACTTCTGAGCAGAATGTCGGCCATCTGGCACTTCCTCACGCCTGCCAATCCACAGGGTGGATGTGAGCCTGTGGAATGACAGCCACCCCCCACCAGACGTGTGGAGGGACCTACCTTCTCCGTGCAGACTCTGTGATTGCGCCCTGGCTGTGTTTCCCTTCCAGACTTTGTGCAGCCATTTTGAAAGCTATAAGGATTAGGAGCATCCTCCCAGCTGTCTCAGAGCTGGCAAGGTTCTGAGTGGGCTGGATCTGGAGCCAGCATCCATTGACCTTTTCTTGGCAGTTAAGGATCTAGGGAACCTGTGGGCCACAAGCAGTGTATGCATCATTTCTCTGGCTCTGTGGTTGAATACAGCAACATCGTCAAGAGCAGAGCATAAGTTTCATTCTCCATTGCCCGACTGATTGATTGTGGCTGTCTGGATAACTGTGTTGAGAAGGATTCTGAAGTCCCATGTGACTTCAGCAAGAAATAACCAAAATTGATTAATTTTGAATGAGGGGAGGAGATTGTGGTAGGTAGCATACCAAATGTCCCCCTCCCCTTCCTTTTTTTTTTTTTAAGATTTATTCATTTGAAAAAAATTCTAAAGATTTATATTTTTTCAGTATTAGAAGCAAAGTTAGAGAGAGGGAAAGCAGGCACAGAGGGAGAAATCTTCCATCCATTGGTTCACTCACCAAATGATCACAACAGCCAGAGCTGGGTCAGCCTGAAGCCAGAAGTGTCATCTGGCGCTCCCATCTACTGCTGCTTTTCCCTGGAGAATTAACAGAATCCTGGATCAAAAGTGGAGCAGCCAGGACATGAGCCAGCACCCACATGGGCAGCCAGCACAAACACTGGCCCCCAGATGTCCCTTACCCTGTTTTAGACCCTGTCCTAGATAGATCTTGACTAGTAGTGATAGGAGAAGGAAAAAGGGAATTCAAGGAGACATCCTATGGAGAAGGGAAATGATATTAAGTGAAAAACCTGTTTTACAGATGAGAAAACTAAGGTTGGGAGAATTTAGAGGCTTTTGTTTCTGCTTGTTTGTTTTTAAGATTTCCTGTACTTACTTGAGTCACAGAGAGAGAGGGATCAGAAGGAAGAGGTCTTTCATCCTCATGAATCAAATGAACATTTCATCCTCAGATGAACATTTCATTCATTCCCCAAATGGCTACAATGGGCAGGCTTGGGCCAGAATGAATCCAGCAGCCAGAAGCGTCATCTGGGTTTCCCTCATGGGAGGCAGGGGGCCCAAGGACTTGGTCTGTCTTCTACTGCTTTCTAGGTACATTAGCCAGGAGCTGGATCAGAAGTGGAACAGCCCAGCTTTGAACCAGTGTTCCTTAGGGGCAGCTGGCCTTGTAGGCAGCAGCTTATACTACACTATGCCACAGCACTGGCCCGCAGAATTTAGATTTTTTTTTTTAACCTGAGGTCACATAGCTCCCTAAAGCATAGATAGATTTTTTTTAAAAGGTAGATTGATTTATTTAGCTATTTGTTTATTTGAAAGGCAGAGTGTGAGAGACCTTTTGTCTGCTTGTCTGCTGGTTTACTCCCCAGAAACCCTTCCTAACTGGGGCTGGACCAGGTCAAAGCCAGAAGCCAGGAACTCCATCCAGGCCTCTCATGTTGGTGGCAGGGAATCAAGCACTTGAACCTCTTCTGCTGCCTTCCCAGGTACATTAGCAGGAAGCTGGATGGGAAGCTGTGTGCAATGGGAACTGGAACCAACAATCCCAGGTGGGATTTGAGCAACTTAACTTAATCCCAAGTGGTGACCTAGGCAGCTGGGCCACAGTACCTGCCACATCTGCCTAATTGTAGCTCCTGGCTGCTCCCCACCCTGTTCATCTGCCTGCACCATCAAAACCAGAAAGTGGATGAAAGACATGCTTCTCTGAGAAGTAAAAGAAGTGGGACCTAACATAGAGGTCATGCACTCCTAAGGAAATCTAAGATAAAATCCCAAATACATGAGGCATCTTCTGGGACTAAGGACCAGCAGCTCACTGAAATCGGGAAATGAGCTGGAAGCCCTGTACTCACAGGCAGAAAAGTCGGTGGAGTGAGGGTTGGTGCTGTTCGCAGTTCTGCTCTTGGCTGTGTGACTTTGAGTAAGATGCCTCCTTTCCCTGGCCTACCTTCGTTAGTAAAATAAGGCAGCATTGGGACTGGTAAATACTGAATTCCAGTACCAGGCATGGCAGCTTGGAATCTTGTGTTGAGAAGGATTCTGAGGCCAAATCTGAGGATAGCTGGAATTCATGCAATGATCCATTAATGATATCTGCCTCCAGTGCTGAAGGAGAGAGGGTGACATGCTTGAAGTACGCCATGTCATCTCACTCCCTGTTCTGAGATGCCATTGCACCATGATTCTCAACAGTGAGCACACTCCCCATGGTGCTCTGTCAACGGAGAGATGGATCTCCTAGTCGCCTGGGCCGGGCTGGCTGTTGCTCACTGTGAAGCAACGGGGAAGTTTCTGATAATCCATTCTCGTTTCAGGACTCTCCTCTCAGACCCCGATTCTGGGGGAGGGGCAGGCTGCAGGCATGGAGGAGGCAGATGGGGAACTGACCGTGGCCCCTACACCGGAGCAGCCAGACCATGGGGTCCACTTTGTCACCACGGCCCCAACCTTGAAGCTACTTAATCACCACCCGCTGCTGGAGGAATTCCTACAAGATGGACTGGAGGGCCGGGAGGAGGAGCTGAGGCCTGCACTGCCCTTCCAGCCTGACCCACCTACACCCTTCACTCCCAGTCCCCTGCCCCGCCTGGCCAACCAGGACAACCGTCCTGTCTTCACCAGCCCCACCCCAGCTGTGGCTGCCGCTCCCACTCCACCACAGTCCAGGGAGGGACCCTGGGGCCTGGAATCAGAACTCCCTGAGCTTCACCTCACGGCTCCCCTCCCACCAGGACCCAGCATGGCAGTGCCCACAATGGGCCCAGGAGCAAGACCCAATACCACACCTCCCAGCCGAGCGTGGACCCCAACCCAAGAGGGTCCTGGAGATATGGGCAGGCCATGGGCTCCAGAACCCGTGTCTCAGACCACGGGGCTCAGGACCAAGGGGATAGTTGCCACAGCCACCACTTCAGGGGACGATGAGGAGACCACCACCACCACCACCATCGTCACCACCACCATCACCACAGTCCAGCCGCCAGGTCAGAGTCTTTGTACTGGGATCCGACCCCAGCTCTGGTATTTATTTACTCTCCCTGAGCTTTGTGTGTAAAGCAGTGATAAGAAAACCCACCTCCCTGGACCACTGTGAATGGGAGGTGAGATCCCACATTATAGGGGCTCAATAAAAAGCAATTCCTTTCTTTCAATAGAATTACCATTGCTCCACCCAGGGTGAGGAGGTAGACTACACACATATATGCACACACGCACACACACATAAATACACATGTACATGTACACACAAGTTCAGCCCTGGCTGGACCTGTCTCCGAAGCTTGGCCTAGCCTTGTGTCTCCTCCTATTTCCCAGGCCCTTGTAACTGGAATTTCTCAGGACCAGAGGGCTCTCTGGATGCCCCCAGATCCCCCAGTGCACCCCCTGGTGTCAGCCTGGACTGTTTCTATTACATCTCCGTCTACCCTGGCTATGGCGTGGAAATCAAGGTGAGTGACCTGGCTCTGCGTGGGGCCCCAGTGGGGGCTGCTGTGTTCTGGGTTCCCAGAAAGGCACATGTTGCAGGGTCGGGGACATGTCAGTTGGAGGGAGTCCCACATCTGGGACTGGGACATGATCCTAAAGCCTAGTTAGATTCTCCTGTGTGCACCAGGGAGTGGGGTGGGCAACACTCCAGGCCAGCAGTGCCCAGAGGTGCTGCAGGAGGGACAGATGTGGCCATCCTCTTTCTCCAGGGGTTTGGTCAGGGGCCCAGGGGAGCCTGAGGAGGGAGCTCTAGTCCTGACTGGGGAGGGGATTGGGTGAGTATGAACTCTGCACCTGCATTCTGTCCCTCGCATTTCCCACGAAGCTTCTGGCTCAAAGACAGTTCCCTGGGTCTACCATGAAAACACACTTACACACATGCACACACACGCACATGCATGCTACCTTGCAGCTGAATGGGCTGAACCTTCTTTCCCCAAGAGTCCCAGTTGCACCTGCTGCTCCCTCAGCTCACCTCACCTGCTATTAGGACTCACACCTGGCATCACTTTCATTGGGATTTCTGTCCTGATCTCCAGTCCCAGGGCACTCCTTATCTTAACTCTGTGTTCTGTCAATCTGTTTATCGCCATCCACTTACTCCCAGAGATGGTGAGCTCCTGGAAGATACCTTGCTGGACAGGGCCCAGACCAGGTTCTCCACAGACCCTCTGAATGGAAAGGTTGGGAGGAAGGAAGGGAAATGTTCCCTCCGCCTAGGTTATGGAAATTGACTGGATGGGCAGGAGGGGCATTATGCTCAGGTGAGGGACTCAGGCAAGGGACTGAGGAGCCACAGAGAAGGAAGCAGAGGAGAGTCTGTGGGGCAGGACCTCTCCTCCAGTCCAGCCCAGCCCACACAGGCCCCGGTAACTGGGCCAGGAGCTAGCTATACCTGTGTTTTCTGCTCTCTCCCTGGGACTCAGGTCAGGGTCCCTAGGCCAAGCCTGCAGACAGGGAACCCCTAGACCTCCTGACTCTCTCCCCTTCTTTCTGCAACTGTTTGCTCTTGCTCTGCCAAGCCCTGTGCCCCCAACTCTGGGCTGACTGCAGGGTAATTAGGAACAGCCACCCCTCCAAGCCATTAGCACTCAGTGTCGCTTAATTAAGGTAATTAATGTAAAATCATCACCTAATGAGAGGTGGCACCAGCTGTGGTTCACAGGGTGGAAGGTGCCAGCTGCAGGTGTAGAGAAGGAGATGAGGGGCAGATGCCAGATTACGTGCCCCCCTGCAGGCCCAGACTGGTTCCACCTGCCTCCCGAGCCTCCCACACCCATTGAAGCCTCCAGAGTCCGACTAGACCCAGCCCTGGTACCAGCCCTGATACCAGCTCTGGTACTCCCTGCAACAGAAGCTGCTATCTCTGCCCATCTTTGCCCTGTTCCAGACACAAGCCCCACCCTGGATGCCTACCCTCCCAGTAGATCCGTGCGTTGTCTGGTTCTGCCACAGTTTTTTCATCAGAATGAAAAAGCCGTTACCAGGCAACCTTGAGAGGAAGACCTGCCACAGCCCCAGCCTGCTGTTGGGAAACATAGCAGATGTGGGCCCCAGCCTCTATCCTGGCACCATAGAAGCAGCGCCATTGGGGTCCTTGTCACTCCTGATGGCCTGAGAGGGTGGCGCCAGAACTGGATCAGTGCCCAGTTTAGGGGAGGAGCAAGAGACAGAGTCAGCCAGGACTGCAGCACGATCTAAGGTTCTTTTCCCAGGACAGGATCCAGCAACTTCTGCCCCTACTTAGGCCTCCTAGCCGCACCCCGCAGGGCCGCTTGGGACCTGAAGATTCACTGACACTATAGACCAGTCTCACTGGATAGTTGGGGAAACTGGGGCCCAGTCAAGGAAAGGAACTAGCATAAAGTCACTCTCAATTATTATTATGTGGTTTTGCATGAGTGGATTTGTCTGTCTGACAAATATAAATTGAGCTCTAAGTGTGCACTGACCACCAAGGACACAGACTGGCAATGCAGGGTGCAGAAAGACAGAGGTCAGAAGCAAAGACCACAGACGGGGATAGGGTTGAGAAGCACATGAGTGTGGGGACTGCAAGAAAGGCAGCCCACCCACCTTAGCATGAAGCACAACATACCCACTCTGAGGCCCACAGGAGGCCAATCAACACCCACACTTGGGCGAAGGAGCAGCGGGTATGGCTGGTCTGGCTGCTCCAGACAAGTAGTTTTGCTGCATAGGGGTGAGGGTCAGACTTGCAGATTTCGCTCTGGCCAGAAGCTTGGTTCGAGCTGGCAGTGGAACCAGGCTGTGCTGGGGAGAGGGGACTGACTATGGCTTCTCCCCACCACAGATAAATCCCTGCCTGGGGCTCCATGAGTCCACCCCCACTGCACAGGGTGGGTGGTCAGGACAGGGCCTGGGGGTCTGGTAAGGACGTGGGAGGAGCCATGAGAGTGGACTGTCTCAAGGACCCACAGACCACATGCCTCAGTAGGTTAGCCAGACACTATGCTGAGCCCCTGTCCTATGACTACAGTGCTGTCCTGAAGTTTGGGGCCCTGGGCAAGATCCTCTCAAGTCCCTTTTTTTGTGGAAGAGCAGCCTCTGAGGGATCAGAATTCCCTAAAAAGCCCAGTTCTGCACAACTTGGCCCACAGCCCCCATAATCTGCTCCTTCCCCTTTCTCCACCTCCCCTCAGGAGGCTACAGTGGTTGGGGCCCTCTCAAGCTGAGGCTCCAAGCTGCCCTCAGAGAGGTGGCAGGGCAGGCTCCATGATCAGAGAAGCCTACCTTCTTTACCTGGGAGTTGGTTGAGGAGGGCCAGGAAAGCAAAGTCCTTCATGATGGGTGAGCATCAGCCTGAGGTCCAAGCAGACCCTATCCTTTCCCCAGCCAGCCGGGCACCCCCTGAGGGCTCAATGCCTCTTACTGCATTTGGCATGCCAAGGGCCTTCCCACTGCCAGACTGTATCTTGGCTTAGTTGCTGTCTGTGCCATCTGGAGCCTGGACACAGCTGCCCACAGTCTCTACCCTCATGCCCCAGGTGGCCCCATTGGCACACAACTTTCCTACACCAAGCCAGCTGTCACTCTGATGGCCAGAACACCCTGCCCTTCTCATCTGGGCCATGGCCAGGCCTGATATGGGCACCAGGGTTGGCCAGTAGGCGTGTAGAGTGGCGTTTCTGGGCAAGGTTCTAATTGCTGGCTCCAGAAAGGCCCATCTGAGGAGGTTGGCGACAGCACAGATAGGTCTGGCCCATTGAATTTCGGCTTCTTCCCCATAATCTCTATAACAGATCTTACCCCATGAGATGCTCCAGAAGTCCCATTCAGAAGGGCAGGGAGCTGGCATATAAGCCTGGGGCTTCATCCTGACTGTACAGCCCACTTCTCAGTGACTTGGCTAAGTTCCTGGCCTTCTCTGGGCCCCAGTTCTCCCCATACCCCATAAAAGAAGTTTGAACCCAAGGATGAACAAAGCCCCTTCCAGCCAGTCCCTGATTGTGGCTTCTGCTCTGGGTTCTCATGGGCCTGACTGAGTGCTGGCATCTCAAGTCCTGGACCCTGGCAGGGAGAGGTGGCTTCCAGGTACAGTGCCTCCCAGGCAGAGCCCTGGCAGACCTTGGAGTGAGGTGACTACAAAGCCAATTATCACCTCAGCAGATGGCAACGTTTCCTCAGCATGGGGCCTGGGTAGCTCTGAGACACAGACGGACTTCTGTGACTTTCCGTGCTGAGTCTCTTATGACCAGCATCTGCCTCTTTATGCCCATGACATGGCTAGAGCATCCTCCCCACTTCATGGGATAACCTGAGGTCTGTTGCGAAGGACAAGTTCTTAACTGGCCCGTGATGGAGCCAGGCTTGCATCCCAGGACCAAACAGCCTGACCTAGGTGACTGGCCTGGGTGTAGCACTAGACAGATCTAGAACAGAGCCTGGTAGCCTTCTGTCCTGAGGCCTCCTCAGACCCTTTTCTCAGCCAACCCCATTTGCTGCTGGAGCTCTCCCAGTTTTGAGCAGGAACAGGCACATGCACTAGGTCAGGAACCAGGGGTCCTGCTTTGCCTTGGGCTCACTGTGGAACCAAAAGTGATCTTTGATCTTGGGTCACAGGGGACCCTTGGCTGCAAAGTAGGTGAACGCAGCCTGTCCTGTCTCCCTCTCTAAGGCTCCACCAGAGGACAGTGGATATGAAAGGGCTGCAAAAACTTACAAGGGCCTTGTGTGAGGGGCAAATATATCACACATGCCAGTGTGTATGCAGATGAGCTTATATCAGAGTATACATGCAGTTGGTGACCAAGAAAGCCTAGCAGGGCTGTGGCCAGACCAGCACCCAGGTTAGGTGGGGTGGGAGGACAGCAACCAGGCACTCACCTACCTGTGCATGACTGTGTGCTGTCACTGGCATCACCTCATTGAGGGGTCACTCCAGAGAGAGTAGTACTGGAGGCCTGACTGGCAGCTTCCACAGAGACAATGGGCCAGGCAAGACAACAACCTGAATTCTCCCCACTCCCTATCCTTAGAAGCACTGGCTTCCTTCCATGGGCTGCAGTATGAGATAGTCCAGGGTCCTGCGGGAATCATCCGGCTCCTGTCTTCCCCCTGCTATGGCTGGCTGGGGGTACAGGAAGACAGCCCTCATGAAGAGAGCTGACGTTTCAATCTGTCTCCCAGGCGCTTCAGATGCCTGCAAATTGCATCAAGACTTCATCCCCTCCCTTGTCGGACACCCAGGCCTGTCTGGCCCCTGTCAGCCTGGCCCTCAAACAAGTGACAAATCACACTGCAGCCACTGCGGCAGGCCTGCAAGTGGGTGCTTAAAACCCAAGGGGCCAGAGCTTTATGGGCAGCTTCTGGCAGAGCACACAGGACTGTATGGATAGGAGCCAGGCCAGCTGGGGGGGTGGGTCATGCCTCCCCCAGACAGGAAGGAGCCACAGATGTCGATTCCCAGTATTCCCAACTTTACAAGGTGCAAAGGGGGGAATTCAAATCCCAACATCTTACTAGGCCAGTCTGTAATCCTCTCTGCTAAACCTGGGGTTGGGGGTGCTGAAGCTTGGAAATTAAGACATCCAAGGAATCTATTTCTGCAGATGATGTGCCCACGAGGTTGAGAAGGGAGAAAGCTATCTTTGCTTCTGGCAAAGCAAGATGTGGTCTCTTAATAGCTGTGTGACCTTTTACAAGTTCCTTAGTTTCTCTGAGCCTCTGTTGACTTAAGAGGATTTTAGCACCTACCTTGTGGAATTGTGGGGAAGATGAAAGAAGATACATAAAGCATGGTGTACTGGAGTACACGCCTTGACACATTGTAGATGTGTCTACACTACAGCAATTTTCCTCTAATAGCAATCATGAGTACTGCTGCCGCTGACCTTGGTTCCAGCAAGCCAGCAGGATCCGGAGCAGGAGCAAGAAGCTAGAGGCCACGCTAGAGGTATATAGGGAAACTAAGCCAGCACCTCGGAGGAAAAGAATAAATTCCTTTCTCCTTCTGTGCCTTTGCTTTCCTAGGGATTTCCCTGCAATGAATGTTCTCCCCACTCCCCATTCCCCCAGTATTCCCCTCTTCTCCAAGTCGCTCTGAGCCCCACCTGCTTGTTCCATGTGCTTTCCCAGAGCCTCCAAGCACAGGGCTCTCCCCTGCAGAATTCCTGCTGCATGCATTCAGTGCCACTTAAAGCAGAATTATATGCTGCCTGGCATCTCTCGGTAATTACGGATTCCACGTGTGTGAGTCTTGTTTCCCCAACTCTAGAATCAGAGTCTCCAAGTTTGAAGGGACCTCATCCAGCCTCCGCCTGCTGCAGGGATTCCCTGTGGAGTGTCCCCAGCAGATGGTCAGGGAGCTCCCGCCCAAATGGCCCCAGCAGCCAGGCAGGCGGGGCACTTCTCACAGACAGCAGTGCTCAGAAGGGACCCCAGCACTCTTCTTTGAGCCTCCCCATCAGCCCCAAAGGTTCCTCAAGTCTCCCCTCCCTGCCCAGCTACACTCTCTGGAGACCCCAGGGTACATCTGTTCTCAGCACCCACTCTGAGCTTGGCAGTGGTCATCTCCTTGGACTTGGCTTGGCCTATGGTGGCCACACATTTGATCTCTACTCATTTGTTTATTTTATTTTTTAAATGTTCATTTTATTTGTTTGAAAGATAGAGAGAAGTCTTCCATATGCTGTGTCACTACCCAAATGACCACGACAGTTGGTCAGGGATGGGCCAGGCTGAAGCCAGGAGCCAGGAACTTCATCCATGGGTACACAGGTCCAAGCCACCTTTTGCTGCCTTCCCAGGCCCAGTAGCTAGGACTTAAATTAGAACTTCAATACAGGACCTGTACCCTCAATGCCAGCTAGAACTCTCTACCCATCTTGATTCAGACCAAACAGTGATAGAGCCTGTGGCCTCAAATGCCAGTGCAGGCTTTAATGAATAAACTGCCTGTCAGGGACAGCCGTAACTAGAGGGACTGACAGATCTGGCCTGGGAAGCAGAAGACAGTGGCCCTGAGATCTCAAAGCATAACCAGCATCACCGGAAGAGGAGTAGAGTTCCCTGTGCAAAGGCCCCAGGGGACTGGGGAAGGAGAGCAGGCAAATGAGTGAGACTGGCAAAGCCCCTGGAGGCAGCTGTGGGCCAGGGAGTTTGGTCCTCATCATCTGGGCAAACTGAAGCCCCCAGCAGGGCTTGGAGGAGAGACAGACATGATTTTATCTGAGGCAGCCAGGGCCCGGAGCTGAGTTGGAGAAGGTAGGAGGGATGAGACAGATGGCTGGAAGACCATTCTCAGGAGAGGAACAATGGGCAGGAAGTGACCTGAGCCAAGATGGGAACAAAAAAGGAGAGGGAGCCAACTGGCTCATTTGGGAGGTAGGATTGGAGAGGATTTGGTAACTCACTAGGTCCCACCAAGCTGGCCCCAGGGTTGGCTCTTGAAGGCCCTGCCTCAGGGCAGCATGGTGGACACCTTGCAGAACACAGAAATCGGAGATGGGGGCTTTGAGCTTCCCAGGGATCTTGTTAAAATGCAGATTGTGACTTAGGCATTCGGTGATGGGGTCTAAGACTGCTTTTCCCATGATGCTGATATTGCTGGCCCACGGATTATAGTCTAAGCTGCAAAGATCTACTCAAGGCTGTCTCCTCAAATGAGGAAACAGAAACTTACATAGCAAGCAGACTTCTCCCAAGACCATGTGGTCAGGGTGGAGCCCCTGGCATCAGGCCCCCACCCCAGTACTGACAGCTTCTACTGAGCCAAACTGCCCCTTCCCCTCTGGAAGGAGCCCAGATCTTGTTAGACTGCATGGAAACTGGGAGCCCAGGAGTATGCTGTGGGAATTGAGGATGGAGGAGTCCATGACATCCAAAGGAAAGCACTGGAGTGAAGGGAAGGACGAGAGAGGAGAATCATGCCTGCCGTGTAGAAGGGCATAGTGTGGGGCCACAGAGGACAAAGCCTCAAGGGACAAACAAGGAATTTGAATTAAATGCAACACTGGTCAGAACCAGCTGCAGCTCAGGCAATGTCAGGGTAGAGGAAAGAGCGAGTGAGCCGTGTAGGCAGGGCAGCACCGCAACACTCCTGGTACCTGTTTCAGCCGTGACAGTGAGGAGCCAGGTGCCTAGTGAGGACATTCCCTGATAATAGAAGCCAAGGATGCTACTAGCTGGAGGAGGAGGGCAGCTGGGCATGAGAGGGCAGCCAGAGGAAGCTGGGCACAGGGGCCTGAGCCTCAAGACTGCCCATGAGTGACCAGGCCCTCAGCCACCCAATCCTGTCCCTACTTCACAGATGTGAAAACAGAGTCAGGGAAGGGGAGGGGATGGGAAGCAACTGATGTGTGTTAAAAGTATTGGACGCACAGAAGGATGTGCTTTCCAATCCCAGCTCTGCTAAGAACCTCCACGAGACCTCGGGTAGTTTCCTAAATCTCTCTGAAGGTCCGCTCGTGGCTCACAGAGTTGTTGAGATGAATTCCTCTTGCACTGAAGTGCCTAACTCAGGGGCCTGTGGAGCCTCTGATCCTGGGGCTGCAAATCTGACTGCTCTCTAATCTCCTGGCAGGTCCAGAACATCAGCCTCCAGGAAGGGGAGACCCTAACCGTGGAGGGTCTGGGAGGGCCTGACCCACTACCCCTGGCCAACCAGTCTTTCCTGTTTCGAGGCCAAGTCATCCGCAGCCCCACCCACCAAGCAGCCTTGAGGTTTCAGAGCCTCCCATCACCTGCTGGGCCTGGTACCTTCCATTTCCACTACCAAGGTAAGGGCAGCTGAGGAACAACAACCTGCCTGGCTTCCCTCCTGCAGGGGAGGGGTCTCAGGTGTGCATCACATTCCTGGGGGGGAGAGGGAAGGGGAGCAGGAAGGGGCCAGCAGCTAGCACCACAGAGCACAGGTGTCCAGTGAAGCTCAGACCCAAGGGAACTATCACACAGCTGACACCTCTGGATCCACCACCCTACAGAGAGCTGGGGTTGACTCAGGCTCAGGTAGCTCCAAGGCGTGCACACTGTACCTCATTCATTCATTTAGTAAACTCACCTAGGCACCTGTTCCTTGCCAGGTGTGTGCTGATCATCAGCGATGTCAAGATGAACCAGCCAAGATCGTTGCACTCAGTGAGTTCAGAATCATGGGAGGAGGCAGACATTGAAACAGGCAATAACAATTCAGAATCCCTTTTACTCAAGTGTATGAGTGTCAAGGTCAGAAGGGTCAGACAGTGACCACCAAGGTCTTCAGCTGCCAGCCTGGAAGCAGCCTCTGCTCCAGCCAGCTCAGCACACCTCCGGAAAGGTGGCGTCCTGTGAAGGGACATCACAGACTGACTGCTTTTGCACCTTCTCCTTGGTTGTTGACCTTGAACAGTTCATTTGACCTCTCTGGCCCACCTTTTCCTCTGCCATAAGATGAAAGCAAAGTGCCTGTTCCACAAGGTCAAGGTTAAAATTAAACAAAGCCTTGCATGTCCGGTGCTTAGCACAAGCTCCATTAAAGACACTGGCATGAAGCGTCCGGCAGGATGAGGACAGAGACAGAGAGGAGAGCTTTGAACTCTGCCGCTCGCCCTCTTGTTTCCCTCCTGCTCACTCCCATCCCTGGCACAAAGTCAGCTTGCGTTCTTCCACAGGTTAACTGGGGCGGGCTAACAGGGAAATAATTGGTGTGAATAATCATGGGATTGTCTCACATTGTCACAGACCACTTTGGCAGCTCCACGGGGAGCCTCAGACCCTACCTCCCGTCGCCCCCCACCAAGAAGCACTTGCCCTATTCTGGCTTCTTCACCCACACGGGGAGCAGCGTGGCAAGGCAACAGGGATCCTGGCCACGGGAGAGGGTTGGCAGAGGCAAGGTACCCTCTGGGAGAGGGTGAGCATCTAGGCAGCTGGGCCAGCCTCCTGAACAGCCTCATCAATCGTCCCGGGCAGCCAGCACGATTTCACGCCACAGAAACCTTTTGTCTTGCTACAAATTCCTTTGCCCAGAACTTTAGACTTCCCCTCTGCCTGCAAACAAAGGTGGCTGAATGGCAGCGCTGGAGATCGGCAAGGGGGAGCGGACCCCAAGGAGAGACTGGGAGAACTGGCCCGTGTTGCCTCTTTCTCGGCTCCCAGAAGCCCTCCCTCCTCGGCCCAGTTTTTGTCAATGATCAGCTCTTTCCTTAATGAGTGTAATTCCCCTAATTATAGGCTGTAATTAGCCCTGATCCCAGAGATGGGAACAGGAGGAGCGTGTGCTCACACGCGCATCTCTGTGGGCTGGAAGAAGAGGGTGCCAGGAGAAGGGAGAGGGGCTCCATACCCACGCCAGCCAGGAGCTGTCCAAGCTGATATTGACATCACCAGGATGCCCCCCTCCACACACACAAGGGTCTCCTGGCAGGGCTAATCTTCAGCTTCCCTCCCACGGCCTCAGGGAGAGTGAGGAGGAAGGGGGGAGCCGACAGGCACCCCGCTCCTCCATCCTCAACATTCCTGGCACTGAACTTGGCCCCAGAAACAGACGCCAGTGAGAAAATAACTCGACAGATTGCAGAGGAGCAGGCTCTCCGGGAATGGTTGTCATGGCAACAGGGAGAAGCTCATCCTGGGAAGTGGCACTTTACCCACTATGGAGTCTGGGGGCTTCATCCTCTGCAGCCATCTCAGCCCAGGTTCCTCATCTGTGAAATGGGGGACCTCTCTACCCCTCAGGGCCCTCACCCCACAGGTGGTGCAGGTGCTAAGCTAGTATCTAGTTCCGGGGGTGTCAGTGAGCTCCCAGCCCCTCCCACTCTGGCCCGTACCCTTTTCCCCCACCCTGTCCCATCCTGATGGAGAATTCTCCCCAGAATCTCATGAAGAGCTACCTGCGACAACCACCCAGGGCAATCTTGGCAGTTGTTCTCAGGTTTTTCTGACCCCTGAATTGAGATTTTTTTTTTCAAAGTTACTTATTTCTTTGAAAGGCAGAGTTACAAAGACAGAGATTTTCCATTCCTCTTTATCTGGTTGTTGCGGGCAAGGCTGAAACCAAAGCCCAAAGCCAGGTCACTGCATAGATGCAGGGCCAAAGGACCTGAGCCATCTTCTGCTGCTTTCCCAGGCCATTAGCAGGGAGCTGGGTTCTAAGTGGAGCAGTTAATGTCACAGAAGGCGGCCACGATGCCGGTCCCTGAACCCCAACTGCTACCTAAACCAGGGCAGAGGAGGTAGAGAAGGATTCAGAGCCAGAAGTTCTAACTCTTTACTTTCTGTCATGTGGTGAGGCAGGGTCTCTCTGAACCTCGGATTTCCTCATCTGACAATGGGCTAACAACTTCTTTTTTTTTTTTTAAGATTTATTTTATTTTTTATTGGAAAGGCGGGCGGATATACAGAGAGGAGAGACAGAGAGGAAGATCTTCCATCTGATGATTCACTCCCCAAGTGAGCGCAACGGCCGATGCTATGCCAATCCGAAGCCAGGAGCCTCTTCCAGCTCTCCCCCGCGGACTGCCTTCCTGGGCCACAGGCAGGGAGCTAGGTGGGAAGCGGGGCCGCCGGGATTAGAACCGGTGCCCATATGGGATCCCGGGCGTGCAAGGCAAGGACCTTAACCACTGCGCCACCGCGCCGGGTCCCGGGCTAACAACTTCTAACCCACCCTGCCTTTCTCTCAAGTACATGGTGGACACCAAGTAGCAGCGTGTGAAGGCATTTTAGAGGTAGAAAGTACATGAGGCTGTGAGAGGCCTTTAGGGCCCAAAACATCAAGAGTAGCAGCAGGCTGATGTGTTGAGTGCTTGCTCTGTACCAGGCGCTGCCCAGGCATCCTCTCACCCACCCTCTAAAACATGGGGTGCAGTGTTTTAAATGGCTGGGGAGACCAGGAGTCTGAGACACAGAGAATATGGCTGGCTTACTCAAGGTGGCACGGCGAGGAGGGGAGGCTCTGTTCAAGCCCAGAGTCCACCTCCTGAACATGTCCAAGTGCCATCTGCCAGTCGCCATGCTCCCCTTTAAGTGGCCGTCATCTCAAGGACCTCCTGGGAGACAGAGAAGCAGGAATCATCTCCATCACAGAGATGAAGCTGAGGCCAGGGTGGGTGCAAGTCACAAAACTTAAGTTTCTGGACTTTGGTCTGCCCAAGGACACCCCTTGCCATATACATGAGAAGGCTGGCTGGGACACCTGATGAGCTCTGTGAGGTTGATCCCTAGTCTCAACCCCATCTCTCCTATTATCCCAAGGGTTGTCAGGTCCAGCAGCCCAAAATTTCTCCCAATATTTCTCCTTAACCCTCTGTAGGCCTTCTTTCCCACCTCTCAAACCCAGGCTGGATTTCTTGGTTTTAACTGCCTCACCAGCTCAGCCTCAGGCTTTTATTTTTCCAGGTAGTTTTGTAGGATTTGCTGCCACCATGTGGTCATACTTGGTATAGCAACTCCAAAAGCTACCAGTTCCCCAGGGCAACTTCCCAGCTTCCAGGAAGTTTCTTCTGCCTTCTCACCCTCTTTGCAAAAGTAGTCCATAACTTTGGACATCAAGCTTAAAATTTTTTTTTTACTAAAATTTATTCATTTTCATTGAAGGCAGATTTTGAGAGGAGAGGCAAAGATCTTCCGTCCATTGGTTCATTTTCCAAGTGGTCACAACAGTTGAAGCTGAGCCAATCCGAAGCCAGAACTCAGGAGCTTCTTCTAGGTCCCCTACAAGGGTGCAGGGTCCCAACGCTTTAGGCCGTCTTCCACTGCTTTCCTAGGCCACAAGCAGGGAGCTGGATAGGAAGTGGATCAGCCAGTACACAAGCTGGTGCCTAAATGGGATCCTGGTGCATGCAAGGCAAGGATTTAGCCACCAGGCTATTGCACTGGATCCAGACATTGAGCCTTTAACATACCTCAATGAATATTACAGAATTTTTCTTCTTTTCAAATCATTTATTTGAAAAACAGAGAGACTGTCACCCCCTGGTTTACTCCCCCAGTGTTCATGACAGCTAGATCCGGGTTGGGCTAAAGTTAAGCCTGCAACTCCATCCAGGCCGCACATGCAGCTAGTAGGGACCCACCCACTCACTTAGGCAACAACTGTCGTCTCCCAGGGTGCATGTTAACAGGAGATTACGTTTGGGTTCTGCATGAACGAAGCATGGAGATCTGGCTCCAAATGGCACCACCTCTAGGCAGGTTGGCGGAATTCCCACAGGCCTCCCCCCCCCGCCACCGTCCCCACAATTCCTGTCCTGAAACCACCCCACATAACGGTGTCCCTCATTCTCTCTTTGCAGCCTATCTCCTGAGCTGCCGCTTTCCCCGACGGCCCTCTTATGGGGATGTGACAGTCACCAGTCTCCACCCAGGGGGCAGCGCCCGCTTTCACTGTGCGACCGGCTACCAGCTGAAGGGTGCCAGGTTCATGACCTGTCTCAATGCCACTCAGCCCTTCTGGGATTCCCGGGAGCCTGTCTGCATCGGTGAGTGGCCCCAGGAGACAGGGCTCAGGACTGGAGGCAGGACTGCAGTGGAGACTCACCCCACTCCCGGTGGTTGCCTGGCCCTTTCGTTGGTTCTCCTATAAGGAAGCCAGGCAATGGTAACAGCTCCTGGTGCCATCCCCCTGCCACGCACTGAGTGAGCACCTGCTGTGTGGAGGCACAGACTGAACTACACAGAGATTATGTCATCCAAACGCCCACAGGTCCTGGAAGACGGGGAATGGGCAGAAGGACACCCAGAGGTCGGTCACCGACATCTGGACAGGAAGTAAAAAGTACCAAGGAAGAGACCTAAAGTGACCTGGGAGGGGAGGTGGCAATCACACCTTCTTATTTATTTTTTGGAAGATTTATTTATTATTGGCAATGCAGATCAGATTTACAGAGAGAAGGAGGGACAGAGAGAAAGATCTGCCACCCGTTGGTTCACTCCCCAGATGGCCACAATGGTTGAGCTGAGCTGATCTGTAGTCAGCAGCCTGGAATCTCCTCCAGGTCTCCCACACGGGTACAGAGTCCCAAGACTCTGGGCCATTCTCTGCTACTTTCCCAGGTCACAAGCAGGGAGCTGGATGGGAAGTAAAACACGTGGGACGTGAACCAGCAGCACCCACATGAGACACAAGTGCTTGTAGTAGGTGGGAAGATTAGTCAATGAGCTATCATGCTGGCCCCACAATCATTCCTTTTAAAAATTATACTTTGGGCCCAGTGCGATAGCGTAGTGGTTAAAGTTCTTGCCTTGCACGTGCCAGAATCCCATATGGCATCCCCGCTTCCCATCCAGCTCCCTGCTTGTGGCCTGGGAAAGCAGTCAAAGACTGCCCAAAGCCTTGGGACCCTCCCACATGGGAGACCCAGAAGAGCTCCTGGCTCCTGGCTTCAGATTGGCTCAGCTCCAGCCATTGCAGTCTCTTGGGGAGTGAACCATCAGATGGAAGATCTTTCTTTCTGTCTCTCCTCTTCTCTGTATATCTGCCTTCCCAATAAAAATAAATAAATCTTTTAAAAAATTATACTTTAAAGTTGCTTCCACTTAATTTGGAAGGCAAAGAGACTGAGTCAGAATTCTTCTACCTGCTAATTGATCTCTCAAATGCCCACAAGAACCAGGGCTAAGCCAAGCAGCCCAGAGCTCAGTCCAGGCTCCCACATGGGTGGTAGGGACCCAGCTATTTGAACCATCACCTGGGTGACAACTTCCAGGGTTCACATCAGCAGGGAGCTGGAGTGGAGAGGGATACAGAACACAGGCACCCCACGTGGTGTCCCAGCCACTGCCCAAATGTCTGTCCTGGAAGCATTCATTCTTCAGGGAAGCATTTCAGAAAGCTTCCTAAACAACATGGAAGATGAGGATGCTCCAGGCTATGGAAGACAGCCAGGGTCAGCTGAAGTCTGAGACAATGTGGAGGGGGCAGTGGGAAGACCCTGAATGGCAGCAGCATCAGCGGGGAAGCCGCCACAAGGAGGTTTCTGAGAGGAAGGCCGAGGAGCTCAGGAGAGCCAGCCAGGTGATATCTGCAGACCGGGAGGCCAGCCAGCCACGAGGGCTGAAATTAGACGGGGGACTTTGGGAACGGAGAGGAGGGGAGTTACAGGGACGCCAACATGGAAAAGGGGCGAGTGGCACAACTCCCTGCCACCAGTCCTGGGTGCTCCGGAGGCCCAGACTGCTCCGACGGAAAAACAGGTTGTAGGAGAAAGAAGGACAGAGCACATGGCACGAACTGAGAGAGGCAAGTTGGGTTTTCTTTTTTTCTTTTGTAGGGTAGGAGTGAGTAAGCTTGGGTTCTAGAATCTTCTCTCATTCTGTAATCTCTTCCAAGGTGCCAGTCACAGCCAGAGCTATGTTGGACAGATACATTCTTGGTGCTAAGGAACTATGATGGGAAGAGAGGCTGTGGTGGGGTCAGCTTGTGGGGCTTGGAGACTGAGGGAGGAGTGAGAGCTGCCCCCCAGTAGGAGCTGTCTCCGCGGGGGGTGCAGAGGTGGGACAGTTACTGAGTGGACATGGGGGGGGGAGGGTGCTCAGGAGAGTGGGGTTCCTGGAGGACTTGAATGTCAGCTTGAGCCTGAACCCTCTCCTGATCGTAAGAGAGACCTACTGAAGAACTGGAAGCAAAGGATGGGGCGTTGGTCAGGAGAATTGAAAGGCAGTTCCAATGGCAGGTCTGCCCTGAATGCAGAGAAGCAGCAGCAACTCCTGGCAGTGGCCTCTGAGAGCTGGCTGAAACCAGGAGAGGAAAGCCCTTCCTGCAACCAGCCACCCTCCTCTTTCCTGGCTGCACTTAACTGCCAGAAGCTTGTGACTGAGTAACCCTCAATCCTCACTGCCAGGTCAGCTCTTCCATAGCGACAGGACAGCCTCAAATCCAGGGATTGGGCCTGGCGAAGCAAAGTCCTTGCCTTGAACGCACACAGCAGCTAAAGTTCTCACCTTGAACGCACCGGGACCCCATATGGGCGCTGGTTCTAATCCCAGCAGCTCCACTTCCCATCCAGCTCCCTGCTTGTGTCCTGGGAAAGCAGTCGAGGACGGCCCAAAGCCTTGGGACCCTGCACCCGTGTGGGAGACCTGGAGGAGGTTCCTGGCTCTTGGCTTCAGATCGGCGCAGTACCGGCTGTAGGGATCACTTGGGGAGTGAATCACCGGACAGATCTTCTCTGTCTTTCCTCTTCTCTGTATATCTAACTTTGCAATAAAAATAAATAAATTAAAAAAAAAAATCCCAGGGGTCAACGCTGAAAAAGGGTCAGTCTAAAAACACCCAGAAAAGCTTCTTCAGGAAGTGCCCGTGGGCAGCAGTAAAGGGCGTGAGCTTTTAGGATAATGGCATGCACGTTGGGCACTCCTTGTCCTCAATTTGCTCCTAACCCAAAGTGTAGTCACTCGTCTCACTCAGCCAACACAGAATGCCAGCTCTGGGCCTGGGGTGAAGAGACCTTTCCTGCCCCATCCCTGCCCTGGGGGTCTTGATCAAGGGACAGTCAAACAAACAACCGGCTTTAGGCAAATAGCAGGTTTCAATGGGCTGGGGAGGGCCTCCTAGGGGAGCCAGCAGAGATGGAAAGTGACTTGCCCTTCCAGGCAGTAACCCCTCTACCTACAGCCAGGGTTGCTGTATGCGGGTAGCAGGGGGAAATAAGAGGGATTCTGCCTGGAGCTTAGGCTCTCAGGGCTAAAAGAATGACCTCAGACCCACGACAACAAAGATGTTTGCACCCACACAGAGGGCACAGAGTGGGAGGCTTGTGGGGCTACCCACAATCAGACCAGGTGCCCTACATTCTGTCCCTGTGTCCCAGCTGCCTGTGGTGGAGTGATCCGCAATGCTACCACCGGCCGCATCGTGTCTCCCGGCTTCCCCGGCAACTACAGCAACAATCTCACCTGCCACTGGCTGCTGGAGGCTCCCGAGGGCCAGCGGCTACACCTGCACTTTGAGAAGGTGTCTCTGGCCGAGGATGATGACAGGTGAGGGGCTGTCCTGGCAGGGAGGGGAGTAATGCCTGGCTTGGTGACGACTGGTTGGAAGGACCCTTACCGGAGCCTCGGGCCACAGCCCACCTGGGCCTGCCACCGGCCACACAGCTGCCACCCTCCTGGCCCAGGCTCATCATTCGTAACGGAGACAACGTGGAAGCCCCGCCTGTGTATGACTCCTACGAGGTGGAATACCTGCCCATTGAGGGCCTGCTCAGCTCTAACAGACACTTCTTTGTGGAGCTCAGTACTGACAGCAGTGGGGCAGCGGCAGGCATGGCCCTGCGCTATGAGGGTGAGCTTGTGGGGACCCAATATGGTGGAGTAAGCAGATCTGGGACTAGCCTCTTTCCTTTGCACCCTCCCCATCTCCATCACCCCTTCCACACCAGTCCTTATGCATGTGGCACCTAGGTACCCCTCTGCCTGCCCCTCCCTTTTGTCCCCTTGCAGGAAACCCATGCCTGGATCCAGGCCCTGTAGGTTAAGGGAATGAAAATGAGAACACCAAGCCCTTCTAGGAAAGAATAATTGGCTGCAAGAGACCATCTAGAACCATTTACACATGCAAACATTCATTAAAAATAAATAACATTTCTTGAGCATCTTTTGTGTACTCGAGGTGATCAGCCAGGTCCCTAAGCCTCCCGGCATGGGTGTCCCTGTGAGCTGTCCCTGCACCCTCACCCCTCACTCCTACTCCAAGCTGTAGACATTTGTTCTCAGAGGCAGAAAGGCTCCAGGGAGGGAAGTAGAACACCTGGGCCCTGTGTTGACCAGGAGAGCTGAACCAGGCGGGGCCTGTGGTTTACAGCCTTCCAGCAGGGCCATTGCTATGAGCCTTTTGTCAAATACGGCAACTTCAGCAGCAGCGCACCCTCCTACCCCGTGGGCACCACTGTGGAGTTCAGTTGTGACCCTGGCTACACACTGGAGCAGGGCTCCATCATCATCGAGTGCGTGGACCCCCATGATCCCCAGTGGAATGAGACAGAGCCTGCCTGCCGAGGTCAGTAAGCACTGGTGTGTGGGCACCAGAGAGCCAGCCTCAGAGCCTGAGGCCACAGGGGCCCTGGGACAAGGTGACTCAGGTTTTCCCCTGATGGGGAGCAGGCAGGGGCTCCCAGCAGAGGATGGGCAGTCCCAGGACATGGTACTGGGAGAGGGAACATGGAGGGGACATACACCAGCCCTCTTGCCTCCACCCCGGGCCTCCCCTGTCTTCCAGCTGTGTGCAGCGGGGAGATTACAGACTCAGCCGGTGTGGTACTCTCCCCCAACTGGCCAGAGCCCTATGGCCGCGGGCAAGACTGCATCTGGGGTGTGCATGTGGAAGAGGACAAGCGCATCATGCTGGACATCCGAGTGTGAGTGCCTCTACCCGGGATGGCCGGGGATGGTCTGGGATGTCACCTGCCTGGCCACTCCTGGGACCTCCAGACCCGCCTACCCCGACTGTCCTCCTCCACAGGCTGCGCATAGGTGCTGGCGATGTTCTGACCTTCTATGACGGGGATGACCTGACAGCTCGGGTCCTGGGCCAGTACTCAGGGCCCCGGGGCCATGTCAAGCTCTTTACTTCCATGGCTGATGTCACTATTCAGTTCCAGTCGGACCCTGGGACCTCGGTCCTGGGCTACCAGCAGGGCTTTGTCATCCACTTCTTTGGTAAGCTTGTCCCTGTTCCTTTCCCACCCTACTTGGAACACAACACAGAACCCGAACCATGGCATGGTCAGAAGCCAGAGGGGTCCGGCTGCTCCTCTCAACAAGGGAGGGCTCTAGGTGTCACCTCAAGGAAGCTGGTCCTGTCCCCCATCTTCCCTGAGCAGCAGCATAAAGAGACAGGGAACCCTCTGTTACAGCAAGAGGGATTTAGGGTAAACAGCAGGAAGAACTTCCCAAGAAAAGTTGAGAATTTAAAGAAGGTAGTTGCTAGCCTCCCAGCAGTCTGTACTAGAGGTGACAATTTCTCTCACACTACCAGGCCCTGACTCTCAGGCTTGAGGAACTGGCCAAGGTGCCAAGACCTTGATGACAACCTTAAAAGGAGCAGGGGACAGAGTGATGTTGGAAATGGACAGCGAGGAATGGAGCCCTGAGCCTGCCCAGGCCGGTCTGGGTCCAGGTTGAACAGGACAGAGCTGGAGTGCACTCAGGGCAAGGGGGCTACCGTGGTTCCCTGGTGCTGCTTGACGACCCACATCTGGCTTTCTCGTGCCCCCAGAGGTGCCTCGCAACGACACGTGTCCGGAGCTGCCGGAGATCCCCAATGGCTGGAAGAGCACATCACAGCCGGAGCTGGTACACGGCACTGTGGTCACTTACCAGTGCTACCCTGGCTACCAGGTGGTGGGACCCAGCGTCCTCATGTGCCAGTGGGACCTGAGCTGGAGTGAGGATCTGCCCTCGTGCCAGCGGGGTGAGTATCTAGCTCCCGTGCTCCCTGCCCCGCTCCCTCTGGCATTTAGGAATAAGCTTAGTTGCCTCACTTGTGAAGTTGGCATAATACCTTCTCAAGAGATTACCAACCCAGTGCTCTGTAACTATTTCATTCCTGGTACATGGACAGTCAGGGTTTCTTGATTGTAGTGGATGAAAAGGGGACACAGCCACAACATAGAAGGGGCAGAGAAATAGGGGGTAGAGCCGTGTGACACAGCCAGAGCAGCCTGGACCTGGCTGAGTACCCCTCAGACCACCCCTCTGTCCCTCCCCCTGCTCAGTGACTTCTTGCCATGACCCTGGGGATGTGGAGCACAGCCGACGCCTCGTGTCCGGCCCCAACTTTCCAGTGGGAGCCACCGTGCAGTACATCTGTGACCAGGGTTTTGTGTTGACGGGTAGTGCCATCCTCACCTGCCATGACCGCCAGGCTGGCAGCCCCAAGTGGAGTGATCGAGCCCCCAAATGTCTCCGTAAGTGCCAGATGGGTAGGAGGGAAAGGCCTCTGGCAGAATAGAAAAGATGTTGCTGCCAGCACCCAGGAACCTGGCCTCCTTCACTGACCTCTGCCTGCTTCATAGTGGAACAGCTCAAGCCCTGCCATGGGCTCAGTGCCCCCAAGAATGGTGCCCGCAGTCCTGAGAAGCATGCACACCCAGCAGGCTCCACCGTCCACTTTTCCTGTGCCCCTGGCTACGTGCTCCAGGGCCAGGCCAGCATCAAGTGTGTGCCCGGACACCCCTCACACTGGAGTGACTCCCCACCCATCTGTAGGGCTGGTGAGTGCTCTGCCAGCCCCCACACTCCCAAAACCCTGTCAAGCCCAGGAACTGCTCTGGCAAAGCTATCCAAGGCCCCAACCCAGGACCACCTGCCCATGCTCCCTGCTTTACCCCAAGACAAACGCTGGAGAGGGCTCTCCCTGGACCAGTCCTTGCCCTAATTGACCAGCCCACCACCTCTGCTCCCTGTATGAGTGGTCTGGTCCAGTGGACTCACCCACTCTTGATCCTCCCCTCTTGTTCCAGTCTCTCTGGATGGGTTCTACGGTGGCCGTAGCTTGGATGGTGAGTCCCCACACGGGAGGGCCAGGGAAGTGGTCTCCCTGCCCCTGGTTCTCACAGTTCACAGACTGTGGTTATCTCAAGGAAAGAGGGCAGAGAAAGAAAAGGGCCTGCCGAGACCAGAAGGGCCTTCCCTTGTGCCAGCCCACTGGGAAGAGCTGGTAGCCAGATGCCCTGGTTGGGGGTGGGGCAAGGGCAAGGTTGGGGGGTAGTGGGCTCAGAATAAGGCACTCTCCATTTCCCAGTTGCCAAGGCCCCCACAGCCGCCAGCACCCTGGATGCTGCCCACATTGCTGCTGCTATCTTCTTACCACTGGTGGCCATGGTGCTGTTGGTGGGAGGTGTGTACCTCTACTTCTCCAGGTGAGTCTGGCTTGTCTTTCTGCTCCACATACCTGACTCACTCCTGCCCAGCACACCACAGTCAAACTTCTCTGGCCCGCAGGCTCCAAGGAAAAAGCCCTCTGCAGCTTCCTGGAACACATCCCTGCCCCCGCCCTTATAGCCGCGTCACTGTGGAGTCAGCGTTTGACAATCCGACCTATGAAACTGGCGTGAGTACCCTTGCCAGCCTCGATCCCCCCCCCACGGGTCCCCATTACCTGCTCCCTGAGGTTCCTGCTAAGCCCTCTCACTTTCCCCCCTTTTCCTGATGCAGGTGGATTATGGTCTGGCAGATCTTACTCAGGTTTCCAACTCCCAGCAGTCTCTTTCCTTTGCAGGAGCTGAGAGAATATGAGGTCTCCATCTAGGCAGGGGGAGCCCATGGGAGCCTGCTCCCTGCATCCCAGGCCAGCAGCAGGGCTCCTTGCTTCCTGCTGCCCCTCTGCCTGCTGTATATACCATCTGGGAAGAGATGCTGCCAGCCCTTCCCCACCTGCAATGCCCACCATGGCCTGTTTTCTTAACACTGCTGCCCACTTAGGGACCTTCCTTGGGCCTGTGATGGGGGGCGTTTGCCTCCTGAGCACATGCAGCAGCAGCCAGCACCCTCCTGACTTCCCTGTGCCCCAGAGCTCCTGTCTGGCAGTCCCAGGTCCAGCAGGAGCACCCCTCTCCACGTGAATCCTGTATCGGGGTTGGAGACTGCACCAGAGCACTCCTCACGGGGCCTTTGCCAGGGGCTCACATTCTAAGGATGACCTCTGGGTGGGCCAGGCATGCCACCAGTAGCCCCTCGGTCGTGGGGAGGGGGACCTTAGTCTTCCTCTAAAGTCCTGGGGCACACACAGTTCTGCCTCCTGCCTCACTCTCATGGAGGCACTAATTCTCCAGGAACTTCAGGAGCTCAATCAAGGACCCTATCCCAAGCTCAGGTTGGGCTTCCCTGGGCCCTCATGCTCCACACCAAAGCAGGATGCCCCATCATCGCTCCCCTGGCAGTCCACACCCTGAAGAGAGGGAGAGTATCCTGTAACATCTGTCTGGCTGTTACAAACATCCTCTTCCCCTCTAGTTACTCCTCCAGGCCTGGCCAGTTCCTGGGTTCCCCTCCTAGCCACTGTGTTGTGGGATAAGGGGAGCTGGCAGGTATGTTCCTGCGAGGATCAGGAACTTGGTATGAACAGGGGGTCAGAGAGCCTCAGTGAGAGGCGCAGGAGCTGGCTGAAGGCCACTTTGTATATACACTGTATTATATGGGGTTTGGGCTCCAGCCACAGAACAATCTTTTATTTCTGTCTTTTCCTTATTAAAATGGTGTTTTGGAGAAAAGCAAGCAATGGCCAGATGCATGTTGCTTTCTTACTGGGGAAGGAGGTGGGAGATGGATGGGACATGGACCCTCCAGTGATGTCTGGGTGGGCAGGCACCACTGTCCTCATTAAGGTCTCTGCATCGCTATCAAGCAAAAGGAGATGCCTCAATGGCTGCTATGGCAGATGCGTGGGAACCCAGGAAGCCAACTGCTCAAGCAGCCCTCACTTCCTCCTGGTTGCTGGGTCAGGACCTCTCAATGCCACCAGCTAGCTCACAAGGCTCACGAACACTGACGCATTCTCCTTCCTTCTCTTCCTAATAAGGCAAGATTGGGAAGGGAGAACAGGGACTAGAGACTGAACACCTGAACTTGAGACTTCGGTCTGGCTTTGTCTCAAGTGAAAATCCAGGCTGTTGGGAGTTTAGCTCCTAAATTCGACAGAAGTTCTGCCCCCTTGGCTCTATGAGGTGTCTGGGAAAGATCTGCTGAACTTCTGCCCTTCCCTATGGTCCTTAGCAAACTCTGAGATGAGAAGTGTTTGCCCAGCTTTGTTTTCTAGTGTGGATATTCCACACTTTGAGGTGTGCCGAGTGCAGCTATCATCCAGAATAAGGACAGGAGGCAAGCAGCAGGGACTTCTGGAGGAGGGACCAGCACTGTGACACACAGTGTGGATTAAGCTGCTGCCCGAAGAGCCATCATCTCATATCAAAATGCCAATTTGAGTCCCGACTATTCAACTTTGTGTTCAGCGTCCCACTGATGTTCCTGTGAAGGCAGTGAAGATGGTCAAGTAATCGGGCCTCTGCCACCCATGTGAGAGACGCTTGATCCAGCCACACCCTGGTCATCATGGTCATTTGAGTGGTAAACCGCTGCATGGAAGGATCTCTCTCTCTGTCACTCTGCCTATCCAAGGAAACCCGAAGACAGAAACTCCTGAATCAATACTAGAACCTGCATCGTGCACCTTACAGCCTTCCAACAGCGAGATCCTGACCATGACCACCGGCACAGCCCACTTCTTGGCTCTCAAGCCACGTTCAAGGAGGGGGGGGGGGGGACTCCCATCCTGCAGAGTGCAGTGCCTAGATTAGCCACCAGAGGTCACTTCCAAAGCCAGTCTATATCCCACCTGCTTTCTTCAATCCCCTTTGAAGGGCCAGGGCCAGAGCTCTCCAAGGTGGCACTGATTCCTGACCCCCTCTGGCCTGACCTCATTCAAGTTCCAAGAGGAAGGTTTGTGGAGAGCTTAGTTACCCCTGGCACTTGCCAACAGAGTCAGGTTTCGTGCCTCCCCCCACTAGTTCAGTGGCTGCTCCTGAAGTTGGTCAGAGCAAAGCTTTGCTTTATGTGAAGTATGCCAATGGTTTATCTGCCCTGGCATGTCTGCAGCCGGCACAGCAGCACAGCTGGGCCCTGAGTAGCAGGAACGAACCAGAGACGATACATGAAGTTTCAGTTGTTTAGTGGTTTGATCCCTTCCACACAAGCAATTTAACTCAGTCCTCCCCTCTAAGGGTCACATCTCTGGCCCGCAGCTAATACCGTCTATTGTTGGATCCTGTGTTCTCCAGCACTCCTCCATGATTTTATCATTCATTCCAACCACTAGGGGCGTCATCAGAAAAAGAGACCCTAATATTCCCATCCTTCAGGAGCACATTTTTCTGAGTGTTCCAGGTACAATGAATACCTAGAGTGAACAGTGTCTGGCCTGGTTATCAAGAGATGTGTTCATACACATGAAGGAACAATTGGGGCTGAATCAAGTACCATTCCTAGAGCTTCCATACATTCATTATGTGGCATTTCTGTGCATCTGGAAACGAGGGAATTAAATCCGATGGTCTTTTAGCACTTTCCAGTTGTAACACTCAAAAATGCCGTGTGACACCCCATTAAAGGTGGGGCAGGACGCAGCTGTCAGTCATGCTGCTGAAACGCCCACTGTTGGGCACAACGATGTGGCTCCTTCTTCAATGCTTCATCCGCTGTCGGGCAGCAGTAACCGACGGTCTGTGACCATAGGCGGCAGAAGGGCGAGAGCCCTTCAGGAGAGCGCGCCTCCCCACCCAGCATTCCAAGGACTACAAATCCCAGCATGCAGCACGGAATACCTTCCCAAGAAGCAAATGACTCCTTTCCTCCAGCCTATGGTTCAGGACGTCTCAAGCACTCCGAACTACAACTCCCACAATCCATCGGACCCGTCGCAACGCGTGTTCCCAGGGTGCCGGGCGCGCGAGGCATGGCGCAAGGCGCCCTGGGAGTGGGAGTCCTGTGCGGGCCAGCGGCTGGGCGTTGTCAGGCATTACAAAGTCGTGTTTTGCTCAGGTTCCGGGGACGGGGCCAAGCGCGGGGCAGCAGCGGGTAGGAGCCGCCAGCGCTCAGGGCGGGACACGGAGCCGGCAGCCTCCCAGCCCGCCATCCCCAAGGCCAGCACCGTCGCACTGCCCTTTCTTTTCTCTCTTTACCAACATGGCGGCATGGTCCAGCCACACCTGGCACTGGAACTGACTGTCCAGTGCACACACCGTGTCTATGAACACTGCCGTCACCCACAGCCCGCCAGCTCCACCCAACACCCCCTGCTCCTTCCCGTCCGCGTCGTCTCGGGACTGCAAAGACATGGCAGCCCTGATTCCAGCACCAAAATGGCGAAAGGAGCCGACTCCTTGTTTAGGGCCTGCGCGGGAGGCGGCGGCGTCGGTACGGGGCGGGAGGGAAGCCTCCCCAGCACGCCTGCGCGGGCGCAGAGGCCTCTAGGTCCCCGCACAAACACCAATGGACGGAGCGTCCTCGGGGTCCTGCGGCTGCGCCGTGACCCCGCGGAGCGTCCCCAGGCGCCTGCGCACGACCTGCGGCCCCGCCCCTCTCCCTCAGTACGCCGGCGCAGGGCAGGAGGGCGGGGCTCCGCAGCGCCGGGCGAATGCCAGCGCGGCTGCGCGCCGGGGGGTGCCCCTTCACCGCGGCTGCGCGGGAGCCTGGCCGCCGGCTGTCACTGCGGTTGCGCGCGGCCAGCGGCGATCCCGGGGCGCCTGCGCGGGTGGCTTTGCGGGCGCTCGCGGTAAGTTTGCGCCAAGTGCGCGGCAGCCGGGACGCAGACGGCGGCGGCGGCGAGAGGCGGAGCCCGGGGACCACCCCCCATCACCCTCCCCCCCGAGTCACCTCACGTACCACAACCTCACCTAACCTCTCACCCCCCACCCCGCCTCCGGTCCTCCCCACCCCCCCCCCAGCCCCGGGAATGGCAGCGCCCGTCAGCCCTCCTGGCCGGACCGGCCGTCTCCAGCACCGGCTCTAGCCCGTGGGACTAGGCCCCGCCGAGGCCTGGCCGCCCCCCGGAGCCGGGACCCACCGTGCAGCCAGCCACCGGGCCGAGGCTGAGGGGCCGCTCCCCCCCTCGCGGCCCGCAGGGAGGACGCTGCCGTCCCAGGGACTGGGGGCCGGGGGGTGGGGGGGAGCCAGGGCGAGGAAGTCGGGGAAGAAGAAGAAGAGGGGCCGGGGTCAGGAGCACCCCCTCCCCCCGCCTCCCCCCTCCCCGCGGGGCTGGGGGGACCGGAGCCGAGAGCGCCCAGCCCGGGAGGTGGATGAATGTGGGAGAAAATGGAGACCAAGACGATCGTGTACGACTTGGACACGTCGGGGGGGCTGATGGAGGTAAGAGTGGCCCTCCTCATCCCCTTTCCTCCCCCACCCGGGCGCCGGGAGGGAACCTCCGCCCTCCACCCCACAAAGCCGGCCCTAAGCTCGAAGCGCCAGAGGGCCAGGAGAGGGGGGTGCCCTCCTCACCCAGCCTCTCCCTCCCATCTTTGCGATTTGGGGGGCAGAGGGGGAGGTTGAACTCAGCCTTGGAGGACGTTTGCAGCAGTTTTCACCGACCCGCCGCCCTCGATTCGCTTTCCGGAGGCGCCAGCCCACTCCATCTCCTTGCACCGGCGGGTCTCCCCACCCCCTTCTCGTCGGCCCCTTTGTGCTTCCCCCTGCACGTCCGGGCACCGGGCTTCGGGCCTCTCCCGAGCCAGGCTTTGGAGTCCCCCACTGTCCATACAAGGAAGTGGCGAGAAGGGAACCGCGCACCCTCCTCCCCATCCCCCGGTCCTGAGCCTCCCCATTTGGAAGAAGCTGCTGTGTTGCGCTGCAGGGACGCGGCTAGGGTGGGCGTCCCCTGGTTCCGGGGGTGCTGAGAGGTTCTGGGAGCAGCCGGGATGGGAGGCAGAAGGACAAAAGGGGGGAGAGGGCTGGGTGACGGCGAAGGCGTGCCGGGGGGGCCGAGGAGCGCCCGGGAGCTCCGCGTGTGCACACACGCCGTTTGTATGTGTGTGCAGCAAATCCAAGCTCTGCTGGCTCCCCCCAAGACGGATGAGGCGGAAAAGCGGAGTCGCAAGCCCGAGAAGGAGCCGCGGAGAAGCGGCAGGGCCACCAACCACGACAGCTGCGATAGCTGCAAGGAAGGGGGAGACCTCCTGTGTTGTGACCACTGCCCGGCCGCCTTCCATCTCCAGTGCTGGTAAGGTCTGGGCGCCGCTCCAGGGCCCCTCGGCGGACCGTTCTCCGCGCATTCCTTCACCTGGCCTGCCCCTGCCTGCCGAAATAACGGGCGCTTGCAGCCGCTAGCTGCGCCGTGCAGCCGCTGGGCGAGCGCCTCCCCGCCCCCAGGTGTCTGCTGGGATCTGGCCGTTTCGGGGCGGGGGTTGGGGGTGGGGAGCAGCGTTGCGTCCGGACCCCGGGGTGGGGGTTGGGAGGAGTGAGCACAGTCCCATCTGGATTGCAAGTCGCCGGGGGAGCTGGGACCGAGCCGGCTGGGCACGGCCGGCGGTGGCGGGGGAGGAAGGGGAGGAGCTCCGGGTCCAGTGCCGCTCGCCGGCCCGCGTGCCCGCCGCCCTCGGGGCTCCTGGCCGGCCGGGCTCTCCTCCCGGTGGGTGGGTGCGCCGAGCCCTTGGCGGCCCGCGCCGCCCTGGTGCAGGCCTCGCGACCCTGCGTTTGCGGCTGTGGAAGAAATGGAGGGTTGTCTCGAATCGGCCTCGTCTTTGCCTCTGTGTTTACAATATGGCGACCTGCCTTTAAATTATATTTTTATTCTCAGCGCCATTTTGGCTGCATATATGATTTGCAAACGTCTCTTGGAGAACAGTCCGGGCAAGCCTGGAGTCCTTTCTGCGCCAGCTCCTTGGGAGCTGGGGCTGGGATCCCGCCGTGGTACCCTTTCTCTGCCTCGCTTTGCCCCCTGTTGCCTCTCGGAGCTGCTTCCCCTCCGCGTCCTCCCCCCCGCCCCCCCGCAGCTGCCTCTTAGGAAATCGGGCCGGGTTAGACAATTAAAATTGCCCTTGGGCTGCGATTTCACTTCTCCTGCCCGGATTGGTGAGCCCTTGGCTGCAAAATTCCTTGCTGCCGGGGCAGGCTTGTGTACTGGGGATCCAAAAAGGGGTTTTTAAGGAGCTGAGATGTTCGCTTCTCGCCCCCTCCCCACGCTGAACGCGGGAGGGGAGAGACCAGAGAGAAGAGAGGGAGGGACCTAGGTTGATCACCGGCAGCTTGATCCTTCTGCAGCTCAGTCAGAACAGTACTGGGAAGAAGAGCTTTGAAAACCTGAGCTACTACTGAGAACACAGAGCTAGCTCTCTGCTTTCCACTTTTGTGCGGCCAGCCTAGGGTGCGTGGGCTCTGGTGGATTCAGGGGCAGTGGACTGAGGCGTGCATTTGGGAGGAGCAGGCCGTTCTTGTGTATTCTCGCCCGCTTTCTGACGCTGCTTTTTTTTTTTTTTTAAGCCCTGTTTGGGGCGAAAGGGAATCTTACCTCTCTCCTCAGTTCCATTCCTATGCTCTCTGATTGTGGATGATAGTCGTACTTAATTGTAGGTTTGAAGCACTTATTGCAAGATTGATGGTGGACCAAGAAGTCTGGTCAGAAGTTGGATAGGAAGCTCCTATGAGATGCCCAAGATTGTTTTGTCCAGGAGGGCACCTCTTCTTGGCTTGTTATGTTGCATGGGCAAAAATGATTATCCTGGGGAAAGCTTTGCTGTTGGCTTTAAAATTTTTATGACATGACTAATAGCAGGAAGGGCCTGTGGTTTTTAGCCTTTACTTGCCCTAAGGTGTAATCGACTTGAAGAAGTTTTGCTTGCTCGATTCCTGAGCACAGGAGAGATTTGGACCCGGACATACTGTGGTTGCTTGTACTAGTATCAGCCGTGCACATTTTTTCTTGAGATATGTGCTAGCTTAGAATTGTGGACCCCTTGACTCAATGTGACGGCCAGTTTTATCTCTGAGGTAAAGTGGGTGTTAACTATGATTGCTAATTAAGAATTTGATAAGGGTTTGGTGCAGTGGCTCAATTGGCTAATCCTCTCCTTGTAAGTGCCGGGATCCCATATGGGCTCTGGTTGGTGTGTGTCCCAGCTGCCCCTTCCTGCTAGTGGCCTGGGAAAGCACTGGAGGATGGCCCAAAGCCTTGGGATCCTGCACTCATGCAGGAGACCCAGAAGAAGCTTCTAGCTCAGCTCCAGAATTGCAGCCATTTGGGGAGTGAACCAATGGATGGAAGATCTTTTTCTGCGTCTCTCCTTCTATCTGTAAATTTGCCTTTCAATAAAAATAAATAGGGCCCAGCACCATGGCCTGGTGGCCAAATTCTCACCTTGTAGGTGCCAGGATCCCGTATGGGTGCTGGTTCATGGATGCAGCTCCACTTCCCATCCAGCTCCCTGCTTATGGCTTGGAAAGCAGTAAAGGATGGCCCAAGGCCTTGGGACCCTGCACCTGCATGGAAGACCTGGAGGAGGTTCCTGGCTCCTGGCTTTGGATCTGCTCAGCTCTGGCCAATGAGTCACTTGGGGAGTGAGCCAGTGGATGAAAGGTCTTTCTGTGTCTCCTTCTCTCTGTGTGTCTTCCTTTCCAAATAAATAAATCTTGAAAGTAATTTTTTTTAATTTGATAAATTTTATATTCAATCTGATTTTTTTTTAATAAAGCTGGAATTAGTGGAAACTTCAGAATTGGAAAAAGTATGCCATTTGCATAAGATAAGGCTCACTTTTTTTTTTTTAATTTTTAAAAAGGCAGAGAAATTCTTACATCATTCTCCAAATGTCATCAAAAACTACCAGGAACTTAGTCTAGATCTGCTATGCAGGTGGCAGAGCCCCAGCTACTGGAGCCATTACCTCCTGCTTCTCAGGCTAGGCATTAACAGGAAGCTGGTTCAAGAACAGAGCTGGGCAGCCTGTGCCGTGGCAGCTGTGAAATGCTTTATTGGGTTAAGCTGCAGCCTGTAGCACACTGGCGTTTCTTGTAGGCCCATATTCTATTCCAGGCTGGCGCACTTCTGGTCTAGCTTGCTGCTAATGTGTGTAGGAAAGCAGTGGAAAAATGGTTCGAGCCCTTGGTCCCCAGCCACCACTCATGGGAGATCCTAATGAGGCTACTGGCTTCAACCTGGCCCAGCCCTGGTTGTTATAGCCATTTAGGGAGTGACCCAGTTGATGCAAGATTTTTTTTTTCTCTCTGCCTAATTCTGCACTTCAAATAAATAAATATTGAAGAAAAAAAATAGCAGAGCTGGGACTTGATCCAGGTACTCAGATTTAGGATGCAGGCATCCCAAGCATCTTAACCTTCACATCAATCGCCCACCCTGACATCAGGCTTTTTAATTCTGAAAGCTAAGCTGAGGTTTTTGTTTTTGTTTCTGTTTTGTTTTTTTAATTAGATGGGTTTGTATTTTGTCACGTTGTAACACTTTCTAGCTGGAAGGAGAGGGAGGGAGGGTAGCTGATGGTGAGATTCGGGCTCACCCAGGCTGAGTGCTTCATTGAACTCCCCCACCCGTTTGAGCTCATGAATGGGAACTGGGAAGCAGAGATTTGACAGCTGTGGTAAATGAGGCAGGACTTGTTTCACAGCTCCAGTTCTTCCTTTGAAGATACCAGTGGACTGAACTGACTTTATCAGAGTTTTTACCTAAATCACAGAAACATTCTAGATGGCAGAATCAAAGTCATTTAAAATAGGAATTTCCTAGATGAGTTTCCTTCAATAAATGAGGTTTACCCCACACTTCAAGAGTGAAATATTCTGTTAACCTACTGAACCAGAGTAGGTAGGTCAAGCAGTTAGCATCTCCAAAAATGTTTGGTTCCCGAGTGTGTTTTCATTAGTTGTCCTTTTACTACTTCCGTGTACCATACGGGAGTGAGGTTAGGACATAGAGCTGTAGTTTTGCTTTCCAGCTGGCTAAGACTGAATTGTTTAGATAAGCACAGTAATTATAATTTCCTTTATGTAGAGAATGTTTAAGAGTGAAGCTGGAATTTTGTGAGTGCGGTAGGTCGTCATTACAGCTGCAATGGTTCTGCATTCAGACTTCCATGCGGCAGTCCTTGTTCCACCAGTCTCCTTCACTGTGAACCGGATCTAGTAAAATGTTCCAGAAGTGATTCAAGCCAGCGTTACCTCCTGGGCTTCATGACATAGCCATAAACCACAGGGGATTTTTCTAACATAAACGACCGGAGGAAATGACTGGCACATAAGCTGTTTAATTGTCCTGTCTTTTCTCAGAGGCCAGTACTCTTCAGGAGGAACATTGCCTCTTTCCAATTAGACTGGGAGCATAGTTTCCGAGTTTTCTGTAATGATCTAGGTTAGGGAGTAAGATGTCCTGGGCTTGGTACTGTGACCTCACTGAAGACTTAAATTCAGAGAGCTGCTAGCTTTGTATTTGTTTAAAAGATGGTGTGATCATTTTATCCAAGTTCAATGGTGTTTCAGTTAATCAGAGTAAAGTAGAGGGGAGAATTGGGAAGAAATGGGTTTTTAAGTTTTCCCCTACAAACCTGACCTTTTTCATAATTAAGTCATAAGTTGAGCTTTCAGAAAATTGTGTTTTCTGTGAACTGATCTCTAAAATCCATTTAAAATTAGAATAACTGGTAAAGCTTTAGCTGCTACTGACCCATCTTTCTGTTTGAGATGGGGAGGGTTGTTGTTGCTAGCAAGAGTGATTATCCTAGAGCATTGGTAATGAGGCTGACTAGAAACTGGCTGGTTTCCTCTGATTGCTTTCTCATGAAATTTTTGCTTCAGACTGAGGGACCTAAAACAGTCTGATTGAGAAGTGCATCTACCTCAGTAGACCTCAGCATGGTCCCTTCCCGTCAGACAGATTTCTGTAGCATTTGCCTCCGCATGTTATATTTGGAATTGTTGGCTGGCTTTCCTCTCTCTGGTATTGGCAGTGAGATCCAAAATGAGGTTTTCTAAGAACGAGAGTAAAAAGGTCTCTGTGCACAAGCAAAACTAAGCTCAGCTTGGAGTTTTGCATATTTTATTTTCAGTGAGTCATAACAAAGGTTTCACACATAGGATATAAAACTTAGTATGGAAAATCTTTGCTTTTCAAACTTTTTTTTTTTCTTTTTAAGGTTTATTTGTTTATTTGAAAGGCAGAGTTAGGAAAAGGGAGAGATAGAGAGGCCTTCCATCTGCCTGTTCACTCCTCAGATA